CGTCGATGAGCCCAGCACCAGCCATCACATGCACTACATCGCCACCACGCTCTCTACGCTCACTAGATTGATGGTGAATGCATATTGAGTCTATTATTAGATTGCGGTGACACGACTAGTGATAGGTGTCGATCAAGTGTTAACATGTTGTAAGTGTATCCAGGCTCGAGCGACAACCGCCCATGCGTGTGTCGTCCCTCCCTCTACCTTCGACCCATGACGGCGTTCGACCAGGGCGCTTCTTAGCGATACCGCCAGCTCTCCTCCATTGGACGATACCACACCACAAGGAGCAGCAAAGAAGCCTGCACGCATGCACAAGTGACATAACTCCTCACACCAGCCGGGCACACCTCGATCGAAAGGCTCTCTCGCTCTGATAAACGTCATGGCATCCTTCAGCGGCTTTCCGCCCACCGCAGGCGTTGGATGCAAGTCCCGTACCAGCCACTCTACCACACCATGCCCACTTCGTAAGGAGGCTATCTCATCACCTGACGTCATCATTCTACCACACAAGGCCCGCGAGCCAGAGGGAATTATCTATTGGAGTACAGCCAAGCAAACACCTCCAAAGCTCTCATTGCTGCTACATCATATTCATGACAATTCCATATGGCCGCGAGTAGTAAGACACCACTTCAAGGGTGACACGAACCACTCTCTAGATTGCTGCTACTCATTAGATCTAGGGCTCAAATGCTTTCACAGCAATAAGCCACTTTATACACTATCTATACTCAGTGGAATTTCACCCGAGTTATGAGAAACACTAGTGAGAAACATATTTCACGACTGCTACGTAGCGCTAATATCTTGTTTTTCACCGAGTAATACGCCACATCACGTAAAACGAGTGAAACTCCAGTACACAGGATATTAGACTGCTCATCCCCAACACTATCCACCCCTGCCGATCATCATCCTACTCACCATTCGTCCCATCCTCAATGTCTGGCAAGTCCACTGTAGCCTCTAGCATCTGCTTACAATGGACCAACTCCTTCAATCTCAATAGATCCACTCTACTAACGCGGACCTATCAACAGACATTCTTCTACTATTCGACGAGACACTCCGACTTCCTACATTATGAGCTCTCCTGGACAGTATCCCCCGAATATACTTCGTCACAGTACTATGCTCGGTGGAGCGCTTGATGTCAGCCTGAATGGTCCGCAAACATGAGCAACGTTTATCTTGGTGAATAGAATCTGACCTCATCGTTATTAGTGATCTCCGAGGGTTTCCACGTGCCAGCAACAGCCTCTGTCTCCACATGACCACCCTCCACACGGCACAGCCTCTCTGGTGTGATACATACAAATGCACTTTCGCCATGTGGTGGTTCGATGTAGATGGTCTGAGAGCAGCAGAGGTAAGACCCCACATCACCAAACGTAGCACCGGAGTAACCAAGCCATTTCCAACTTTGTCGTTCACACACCGACTCTCCCGAAACAGAGATGAGAGCAAGCATGTCAATGCCGACGACTAGGTACACTTCCTACTACGGTACTAACGTGTAAAGTTATGAATGGCCCAATACGCGAAACCACAGATGTAATGCTGTTTTGTCAGCTCACAATACACTCACTAGCCAAACTTTGACAAACTCGATAGCTCTGGAATCCAGGAAGTCTACGAGCCCGACTTTTTCCGAGTCTTACATAGCGCTTTGTATCTGGTACGGCCTCCACAACGGTGATAAGCCAATCAATGGGGTCCATTGGGTAAGCGCCATCTTCAAAACTCAAGGTGGATCGAAGTGAGATGACCTGAATGGAGGTAAAAGGAGGAGGAGGACGATAGAGCATGCTACATCCACTTACCACTTTGTCAAGGGAACCATTGCGGAATTTGGAAATTGCAGTATTAACGGTGTTACTATACCTAACAGATAGATTAGCGTAACAGGTTTCAATCTATCAGACTCAGGTTCGAATCCCACGAGTATTACTCTTCAAGTGTATTGGCTGATACTATATCTGACGCCAGAGGAGGCAAAGGGGCCGGCCCACTGGTGAGGTCACTGAGCCTGCATGGCCACTTGAAGGATGCTATCGTTGATAGAGCTGAATCCAATTAGCAACATGTGATGCCACATCGAATGTACACGTGGCACTGTAGCGGAACAGGTCTATTCCCAAGTACCATGATCAGCCTCCCCCATGAGTAGCTTCCCAGTAGCGCTGTCGTATAGCATGTTGGCTGCTACCGTATACGTAGCCTTTGGATATACACCCGAAGAGGCTATCTCGAGGCGAGGCAAGACCCAATATCTAATACATCACTATACACATGCTTACCATTACACCTTACTCTTGCGAAGGGTCATGGAAGAAATCACGCCACTCGGCACCGATAGCCCTGTCCTCATCGAAACGACGCCCTGAAGGTTGAGTACAGTAGGCCGAGTCGTTGCAAAGAAACCTCAGATCAGATGAACTAACGTCGAAGCCAGATCGACCACCACTATGAGCAATACATTTTAAGACATCGAGGAATGGCGCTCTATATAATACTGAGCTTGCAGGAGTTTACGTCATAATTGTAATTTCGATAGATTGATATAAATTTGGATCTCTCGAGATACCACAACTACTCAAACCTCGAAACACGATAAGGACAAAGGACGAGTCTCCCATGACGAACCTCCAATGTAGCGGACTTTATCGTCTGTACCACTCAGCAGCATAGCACTCAGTGAAGAGGCTATATGGGCCTGACCCCAGCCACCTAGGGCATACGATCCGTCGCGCGCCACGAATAGGGAACCTGAACGCAGCGGACAAGTGGACGAGGGCCGGTGGGAAAAAGTTTACGTGACTCCCTTCCAAAGCCTTGAAATCTTAGGAGTCTCAAGAAATACTTCGGGAGATGGTCGGCACTGTCCACATGCAAAACAGTGGGACATTCGATTCGGAGTACTCGTACTGAACACATCCTCTTGGCATCAACCAGGAAAACCTATATCCTACTGGAATGGTCTTCTGATGTGTTCGGTACAGAGGCTTGGCCACAGTGCGATATCGCATCCATAACATGTAAACAAGCCACCTAAGGAGTCGAACTACGACCGAAACTGAACCGTGTGGTGACTTACTTCTGGAGATGGGCAGAAGGGAAGCGTGAGATGAGACTCGGCAACATCCGAGGCATTGGAAGTCATTGGAGTGGTAAAACAGTCCGATTGATAGTAGGGCATTCTATCAACCTGTGTAGATAAACCTAGTACTCTTATGGTCGGTCCTCGTCATACGTCCAATCCCCCAGCCGGGGATCGAACTCGGGACCTCGAACATACGTCGGCGCAAGAATGTCGCGCACGCCCACATACTGGAGAGTTGCGTTGCCATGGAGTGGTTCACTATCTCATCACACTATGTGTCACAACTGGCCTCCTTAATAGGTGTATGAGCCGTATCCTCTTACAGTGATGTCACTCTAGAGTGTCGTGTATTGATGTAAAGCACTGGTTTCATCTGACTAGACTAGGGGGACCGTCAAGCATGGCAGGGAGATGCTTGCATCACCAACTCCTTTAATTCGTACTGGCAAGCTGTTGGTGGGCTCCATCGTTCTGGGGTAGGGATCGATTGGCTTCAGTACGTTCCCAGTTAACAAGCCATGATCGGGGAACTCGTGAAAGGCCTGGACTACCTCACTTGGGCAGTTCCCGCTGGTGGACCCATCCGCTCAGCATTCGGTCCGGTCGACCCATCAACGATGTTGAATTCAGAACCGAGTCCATATCCTGATCCGGACAACCCGGTAAGCGATCTATCGGGAGGTCCTTGGTTCTATCCCGGCACATTGTGTTTTCCAATCAGGAAGCTCCAGCGAGGTGTCGTACTGGCCAGTCGGCTCGTGTCGAGGGATTGCCTTGGGCACCATCTGTACGAACTCTCCACGACGTCTTTGCTCATGCCGTCAAAAGGTGATGACCTCTCTCGCTTCCTCCAATGAGCCCATCATATGTCTTCCTCAGTCATCCCAACTCCAAGTGTCAAGGCACTCGAGAGCTCCTCCGTTTTGTGGACATGGGTCAGCCGCTACCTGGCAAGGAGTTCGGCAAGACCACATGGCGTAGGCCTCTCTCGGCCATCTCCCTGAGGGACCTTCCTAAGATTAGGTACCTATCGCCAGGTCAACAGGCGCGTCTTTGCCTTTGGAGCGGGTCTGCGCAGTATTGGCAACAACCCTCAGCCTCACTACGTTGCCGATGTGGACTCCTTGGTGAGACCTATGACTGCTCCGATAGGCTTGATCACTCCTTCTCAGACCGGCGCCATATCTCTGGTCATCTTCGAGGACACCTGTGCAGAGTGGATCACCGCGGCCCTTGGAGCTTGGTCTCAGAATATGATAGTCACCACCATATACGGTAAGGTGGTGGCACCATGAGCAGCATGATACCAGCGGACTTGGTCAGGTACACTAGGACCAGATGCTGTGGCCCAGGCCTTCACAGAGGGCCAAGGGACTACTCTATTGTGTAACAGGAAGAACGTGAGTATCCACACTGTGCTTGGCGGAGGCGGATACTGTGGACCTGACAGGTGGCTGGGGTCGTGGCAGCCCGAGAGGACATGCCTTCTTTGAGGCACATCATCTACACCGATGAAGGCGTTGATGCCAAGGAGAGGATGAGACCCATACAGTTGGCTGGTAGGTTGCGGGCCTATTCTGTATCTTGTGTAGGGACCCTGGTAGATACCCATGGTATCGAGGTCATCAGATTCGAAGATCTGCTTCGACGAGGTCAAAGCTTGGTGAAGGACTACCCTCCAGTGTTGCCTCGGAAGGACAGTATTGCTACTATCATGTATACGTCAGGTACGGCATTCGTGACAATGATGGGACTCATCGATCGCTACAGGTACCACTGGCCACCCTAAGGGTGTCGTCATAAGACATAGCCACGCAGTAGCGTGTATTCGATCGGTGCTTCCTCTTGTCCTGGAGCGCCTACCTTCTAACTTCACCCATGTCGCGTAGGTCCTTCCCTAAGGGCAGTTACTTGATCATGGTTGAGGCTAGGTACCTGCCGTTAGCCCACATATTTGAGTTGGCCGTCCACCTTGGGTGCCTCAGCTGTGGTGCTAGCATCGGCTATGCAGACCCAAGTAAGCAAGGCCGACACAGAGTCAGAACACGACGGTGTGCCTTACCCTACTGTAGAGAGCCTAACGTCCACTCTAAGCAAGCCTTGTGGAGCTCTGGAGGAATACAAACCACATCTGTTAATCGGTGTGCCTAAGATCTTCGACGTCATCATGAAGGGAGCTATCGCGAAGATAGCGGCGGAGCCACGTAAGGCCCTCCTTCCTCACTGTTGGGTAGGTATTACTTGTTCAGCTCTCAAAAGAAGCCTCATTAATGCCGCTTTCGAGTCCAAGGCAAACGCCATTGAGAGTAGGATGCTCTTGTTGTTATAATCACTAGAGTGGAGGGGTCTTTTTTAGATGGTCGATTCACTCCTATTTTCGACCGTCTTGTTTTCTCAAAGTTCGGAGCCCTTCTAGGTGGTCGAGTAAGGTAAGGCTCCATGGTGTACTACAGAAGTGTGTCACGCCGCACTGCATAGGATATGCGTGTCTGGTGGAGGCCCTCTGTCGGGAGATGTCCAGAGATGGGTCAGGACGGCTTTTGGGTGTCGGGTCATACAGGGCTATGGTCTGACGGAGACTAATGCGGGTGCTACTATACAATTGTGAGGACATATATAGAGTGCGTCAATGATCCCTCTTCCTACAGAATGGACGATCTTCGAACGGGCGTGGTAGGCCCGCCGATCCCGGGTGTTGAGATAAAGCTACGGTCATGTCTCGATGCTAAGGGAGAACCTGAGATCTTGGATCGCCATGGCAAGCCCTATCTGTCGAAGGACAGTCGAGCGGCTAACGGCAAGCGAGTCCTTGGTATGGTTAATGCTCTACTACAGTGTGATATATATGTCCTCTACTAGGCCGGGGTGAGGTCCTCATACGTGGACCATGCGTGACGAGTGGTTACTATAAACTGCCAGACAAGACTAAGGAAGCGTAAGAGGCATAATATGTAGCGGAGCGAAGCTCATGGAGTGCAGGTTTAAGCCTGATGGATGGTTCTATTCTGGTGATGTTGGACAGTTCTTGGAGGACGGTAGCCTTCAACTGATCGATAGAGTAAAGAACTTGGTGAAGCTACGGGGTGGCGAGTGAGTACCATAGACTTCCTCGGGGCACGGCCCTCCTATAGGACGTACCATAACGTAGGTATATCGCTTTGGAGAACATGGAGTTGGTCTACAGCAGCTCGGCCTTTGTGGATGCCGTCAATGGTGGCATCATGTGCTACGGTGATGGTAAGTGTCGCTATAGACACTCCTCTCGTGCCTCTATGGTGATGTATTCAGGCACCCTGGACAGGCCAGTAGCCATGGTACAGGTGAATAGGGACAACCTTGAGAAGTGGGCCAACACTAATAACGTCCAATACAGCACTTATGAGGAGCTGTTGAGAAAACCTGAGGCCAACAAAGCGGTGAGGAACCTCAACTAGGAGGTGTTGGAATTGAGATGATTCAGGTTTTGGAATCGCTAAGAAAGTGTTGGAAAGTTGGTAAGCTGTCTCCTCTCGAACAGCTCTGTGCTATAGTATTGCTCAGTGATCCATGGACGCCTGAGAACAAGTAAGATACCATTCGTTTCTATTGAAGTCACTGCCTCCTCATCAGATGCCTGACTGCGACTAATAAGCTTTCGCGCCATGGTATTGCTGCTAAACACGAGGAGGTGTTAGAGAATTTGAAGGCACTCGGACGAGAGTAAGTCTAAGAATTTCGGGTCGATTTTGGAGTTGTTGCGGCTGTTTGTTCAGTCCATCGATGCCGATGTCGATACCCACTACCTCCACATCATTTTCGAGGGCCAAGTTATGAGTTCGTCCAGGGTGGTGGAGTTATTTTAGGGTTGTCGTTTCTTAGCAGATTTGCTTTCTTTAAGGGTTGCGGTATTTTTATCAAATCGGATGTTGTTGTTGCGTTATCTGGTCTCCTGCGGTCCAAAAAAACACTGCATGTAAGTACACGAGTGCGGCATCGTATGTGCTGGAGAGGATAGTGCAATAGGGCCTTCCTAGAGGCGGATTTTGCTCTCCCGGTGGTACTGCGCTTATCAAATTGCTGTCGTTTATATACGCATCGGTATGAAGTACACACTGTGTACTGTAGTAGCTGCTTAGGTTTGTACATCATGCCCAGCTTGGTCGCGAGAACAGCTTTAATGGTCGACTACATCATATGGAATTCACCACGTACAGGACACAGAATTCGGGACGTTGTATCACATCTTTTCGAGAGTTATCGCACTGGAAGCTGAGTAGCAGGGTTCAACCTTAATTCCAGTTATCTCGTTTCGGAGGACAATGCCGCCTCGGCGATCCCTCTCGTATGGACGTTATTCAACGACTTCAATGGTTCCGAGATTGCTATTGTCGTCTCGGTCCTTTGAGGGTGAACGAGTGCGTACCTTGTCGCCATTGAGGGGGAAGCCCAGCACCGAGAGGCTCGTAAGATGATGCTCGAGTTTACTTCACATGGTTGCATCTTCGAAGGCTCTAAAAATGCGAAATGCGATAAATGCTCACATATTACTGAAGCATATAAGTATTATATTATAGTAATCGTTGGAACAGAATATTATGTTACAGTGTTCTCTTCGAACGATGAGACCTTCTAATAGACTGAAAGTAGCTGTCGTACCTCAGTGATGTACGAATCGATTCTCCCGGCTGGTCCAACACAGTTACGAGTCGCTGTATTAGGCTCGCTGGTGGTCACCGAGAGGCGGGTCGGCGCGCGTTGGTAATGGCCACGTGAGTTCCCCACTTGATCTCGACTTCGGCAGAGAATGGCTGAAGAGACGTAGTCTCATGAGTGGCCAGTTTCTCATGTCTGAGCTCCGTGTCTATAGGCGATGCTAAGAGGGCAAAGAAGAAGATCGAGAAAGAGAAGCGAGCAATGGCCGAATGTGTATGCGGCAATACTCGTCCATGATGGCGGAATGCAACGCACTAATCGTTACAGCATGTTTCAAGGGTGGCACGGTGCAAAATGTGAAGTTTGCGAAACAGATCAACAATATAATCATTTCACAAAACGAAGAAACCCTTCGAGAGGAATCTCCGCAAGATGTTATCCTGAGCAGCCAACGATTGATCACTGTCTTGGAAGGTATTCTCCCCCGTCCACCGTCCCGGTATTAAACGCAGTGAGAAGATCCTAGGACAGACAGGTCTGCAGTATGTTGGCCCAGTAATATACTTCTGTCTGCTGCCGGCGCATACCATGGTGACCTGTGATCACGCCAGACTGGGCATCGATGCTCCGCTTTGAAGCTTGCTAGATGTAGATGGTGTATGGACCATCAGGTTCAAGGTTGGAAAGAGCACGCTGACAAGTACGCAAAGAAACGCAATGATGATAAGCAGCCACGCGAGTAGGGCCGCCGCAGTGCCCTTGGTGTAGGGGGGGCCTGCTTGGGAGCGCCTATTATCAGTTGTGATTTCTCTCCGGCTATATCTCGTTACGGTGACAGGAGGGTTGGAAATGCCTCACAGGCGAGTCAACGATTGTAAGTTCCTTTCTGCGCTTTGCTACGGCTATAATGCAAGCTCAACGAAGCACTGGTGTTTTCACCGAATCAAATCGTGATCATGACGTGCTATGCTCGATGCTGGAGCTGATAGGAGCCGCAAGTGACTTGGAATGGCTACCATATGGGTTACCTGTGCTGAAACTTCGAGGACTGAGTCCTCCAAAGCGGAAGGGCGCTCTGCGGATGAGCTACTTCGATCCTCGCAAGGTATCAAGACGCTCTCGCCAAGCAAGCATTTGAACGGCAGCAGCTTGAGGAACGCAGACGAGGTCATCGCTCGTCTGCTCCCACTGTAAAACGATCCCTCAGAAGGCGATTAGAAAGGCTGTAGGTCTTAGGCCCGCTCATTGTACCTCGAATCTTCGTAGCTGATAAGCATTCGCTACCCTAAGGTACGAGGATGCCAGGTCACGCAGACTGAGGCAGCAAGAGTCAGAGGCTAGCATGGAAATCCAAGCTAGATCGCTGTCGGAAAGTGGCAAACTCTGCCCGAAGTCGCGAAAGTTGGCGGAGGCGCGGAAGAAGAGGATATCCGCCCAAAGACGTGCCCAACTAGCAAGGTCGGTGAAACCTTAAAGCCTACTTACTAGCCGCTATCCATGATATCAATAATATAAGCCTCTATCAGTGATAGACAACAGTCGTCCGAACTGAGCGACCCGTGAGAGCTATTCGACTTTTCGTTTTATAGGCTATCAACGATATAGGTATCAATGATAGCGAATCGCAACTGTGTTCACTGTAGGGCTTTGACGCCGCCGACGAGGCCAGTCGCGAAGAGCACAGTCGAAAAGAAGCGACAAGCTGCCATAGAAAAAATGGACGCTTTCCTCCAGCGCAACGAGTTGGCTTCAATAGCAAAGAAGGAGCGTGCGCGAAGAAAGTTGAAGTTGCAGGAGTAGGAAGCTTCAAGATTGAAGTTCCATCACTGGTCGTGGGTGACCACTCTTCTGTCCAGGTTGGCTGAGCTGTCGGAATGCACCTTCCACCCCAATTTATCAACTTCACGGAACTCCCATTGCGAGGTTTGTCCGGTTTCCCTCCGTAGATCACCTGCTGGTATTCCCATCAGACCGACATGCCTCTGAAGCGAGCTCTAAGCTCACGATCAGCTCGTGGGCAGAGTGTGCATGAACGGCTGTATGAGACGTGGGTCGTTGGAGTCCTACCCCGATGCTGTGTGAGCTCTAGATGTGCACTTTTGGTAGGGGCATGCTTTACAAGATTAAACGGGAGCAAGTTTATGACAGTGCGAGAGTAGCTCGGGAGAGAGAGGAGCTGAGCTGCTGTAAGGTCGGCATGTCGTACTCATTCCTCCTGCCATGTCAGTCCACTCCAATGAATCACCCAACGCCGATGAGTTAAGGTACGTTCACCCCTCTGATCTCGACTCATCATCATCAAACGGGACGATGGCTCGACAGTGCCTATGATAGCGACTCCACATCTGTTGTCAGCCAAACCTCGTTCTCATCACAGAACTCCATGCTAGTATGCATGCTCAGCAAGGATGGGCGCGTGGATGGGTTACTGTCCAACTCCTTTTGTTAGGCCCTCGAAGACGAGGTTCGCACAATGGTGGCTGAGTACTTAGCGTCACGTGGACGGCGCTCAGGTGACGTCTCTCCTCGTGCTTCGAGCATTTACGACAATGAAGATCTCGCGGGAAGTCGAGTCGGGTCGTGATGTGTGTCTCGCATGAGCTTCCACCTAACTGAACTATTTGTTTTGTTCATCTCTCAATTAAAGGAATATCCGACTAATAGAAGCATAGTTGTGATACTAACATGTGAGGGCTCTCTGGGTCAACGGCTACATAGATCGAACTGTTGAGCTGTCCCTGTTGGGTCTGATACCCGTTCTTGTCGCCTAGTCAAGCCAGTGAAACGCAGAGCCTGTAATGCGGTTGTCAGACTTAGCTATAGCGCCACTGTTCGTAGCTGCCCCCTCCCCCCTCCCAATGCTGGTCGAAAATGAGCGTATTGTGGGACTTTGTTATATACAACTCGATGAGTCTACGTCTGCTCTTCTCGCACAGCAGGATGCGCTCAAGACACAGTAGGAATGCTACAAGGTTTCAAACCAGTACATTCGATTCCATGACAAGGTTTAAACTGCTGTTTCCAGTGTCTTGTGTAAGGCCATGTTCGGGTGAGATGTCCGACGATGGGCGCCATTCCAGAGTGGCTGAGCTTTTCTTCAGGGGTTTGCATACGGCAAATCGAGTATATGGAAGAGCCGGTCTCCATTGATCCTAGAAGAGCACTGTGTCATCCGGTGATGACCCCAGCCCTCTTAAACAAATACAGGGCAGATGTAATGACTCCACAGCTCGCCTCAATAAAGGACCACTGAAGCACAGATGACAAACACGATATGCATAAAGAACCCGGGTGATCCGTCTTCACGAGTCGTGAATCACGACCAAATCGAGATTAAAGACCGCTAGCGTTGTGCACAGTATTGATTTTGCGTAGTAGGTGTCCGGTCCGGTGAAAAAAGAAACAGTTTCCTTTGACTCTTGTGTACGCTACGGGGTCTCCAAGCCTGACGCGCTTGATTCCTTCTATCACCCACTGAAACTCGTCCGCCTTTGATTCAGAGGAGGCTCAGGGTTGGGAGAAGGGGGAATGAGAGCGAGGTGTGAAGTATAGGGTCAAAGAAGCGACACAGATGGGATATCTCGTCAGTCAAGCAATAGCTCTTCAACCGCTGCTGGATGCAGAGGCGATAATCACCATACAAACGAATACTGGCAACGATTTGGGAGAAGTACGGTATACGAAGAAACTCTAGGCTCCAAAAATGATGAGAAACATTGCCTGAAACATGCTACCGTCTCGGCGCCAACTGAAGAGCTTCATCATTGGCCTGCAGCCCGGCCATGCCCACCGCTAAACGAACCAGGTTCTGTTTTGTAAACCGTTGCATATCCACAGGTGCTCGAGGGCCCCAGCCGAGGGCGAAGCTCTCGAGGACATCAGCCGCATCGACTGGTGATGAGTGCGAGGCGAAGTACCTCCAGCTAAACCGTAAGCTACTTACCCTCCTCGCCATACTTACACCACTTTTATCATGTCCGCGGGTTCCTTGACCATTTCATCGTAACGATCAGCGAGCACCTTAGCTCGATCGAGCATTGCTGACCATAGCAGGGTATTGGCAGGTGGTGGACATACTGAGATCGACGCAAATCATTAGAGCGACACTAAGGAGGCCACCTACAGCCTATTGCATTAAGGGCTCTAGCTAGTGTGCCAATGCAGGAAGAACTCAGTGTAGTTATCCTCTTCAACAACAGTTTACTATCAGCCCATGCATGGTGACACGCAGCCAAAGATACCATACCATTGGCAGCTAACACCTGGGGGAGGGGGGTCTGCGCACAGCTAAAATTTTCGGAAGAAGACCCACCGAACATCCCCAAAGGCCATTGGCGAGCCCCACATCAACGCCCTTATGGAGGGCTAGATGAGCTCGGGAGCCGAGAGCCTCTGCGAGGTCTCGGGAGCGGGGACCAGGCAAAGGCACTACGTTGGCCAGCGACCATAGCATGGTCGAAAGGTGTTGGGGAGAGGCACTGTCGATGACTAAGGAGGGCCGGAGATGGGAAAGTGATGGTAACACACATGGAATCATTTTCGTGTGAACTAAGACGGCTAGAATAGGAATACTAGTACTTCGACCCTTCTCGCCTCCACTACGGACCCTCCCCTTACTCTGCAATCCCCTCTCGGAGAGCCTCTCCAAGACTGGCCCTCGCCAACTGACATCGTAGGTCTTTGTGGGTATTCGAGCCAGAGACCAGAGGGTATTGGACAAATTCTGCGTCGAGAAATGGCTGAGGACAGCAGTAGACTCTTCAGTGATCAACTGATGGAAAAAGCGTAAAAACCTCATACCCAAAGAGTCCAGCACACCTGAGCAATGAAGCATTCGAATTGAAGTGAAGGGCCGCTCCATAGCTGGCGGCGAGCTGTGGCCCATAGCAGCAGCCCTAGGTTGTGGGGAGGTATCCTAAGACTACCCATGGCCACCATACCCCTCTAGGTACTCTTCTACTCGAGGAGCTCCTTCCGCAATAGATCCGAGTCGAAGCTTCGAAGCCTGGTAAGGGCTAGCCTGATGGCCTCAGTAGATGCCTCCGTGTCACAGGCAACTAGGGTATACGATAAATTGACCAAGTCGAATACGTTGAAGGTACTCTGAAGATACCACAAGATACTCTCTGGGGTAGCTCCCGACCCTCCCGCCGTACCAAGTCGAGCACCCCAGCAGCCACGGCCTGGGGTATCTCCCGTTCCCACCAGCCCCCGAGAGCTCTATCATTAACCTTCTGGGCACACCAAAGCATCGTAGTAATGTTACGAGGGGTCAGCTGTGCCTCTCGGTACCTGATACTCACGCTATTAAGGATAGGAAGACGTGCAGAGGTACCAATCCCAACCCCTGCCATTGACCAATCTCTGGAACTCAGCGAGGACCTCAGCGGCATCCGCTTGCGAGGTCGGCTCCTTCGGTAGCTTATTAAGGCCGTAGTGCACGAGGCCTATCATTTTACCGGGACTACCTCCATGACGTTCAGCAAGTCTAGCCAGGGCTGCAACCATTCCAGAAAAAAAGAAATGCGTTGACGAGATAATTTGCAGGAGATTATCGCTTCGCTCCGCCACCAAAATTGTCACTCTTGAATCGCTTCGCTCCGTCTTTTTCTATTCGTACTTGATAGTGTCACACTTGACTGTAGTCAGCTCCAACTATGGTTTGGAATTGGGCCTACAGTAAGGCAGGCGCTTGAGAATCATCATCGCTGAGGTGTAGGGGACTTAATTTCAATAAGCGATGATAGAGGACCTGTTGTTGTTTACAATAGGTGATGTATCAGTGGAGGTGAATCCAAATCGATCAAATATCTTTCTTCCGGACCTGATTCGTATCTTTCAATTCAGATGCCTTTGGCATACCCTCATGACAGGTGACCCAATACTGGATGCTGGAGGGAGTCTAGAGTACCTGTATGCGGTCCTGGGCCCTCGAGGGATGCTCCTTGGGGCTGCCCTCCTCATCTGGACCCTCCACTACTTCATGGTGCTGCATCAGCGGCCCTACGTCTATTTCTCGGGAACGAGGTCGACTCGAATCTTGGTAGTATCATAGGTTCATCTCGGCAAGATACGAACTAGGTACGATCTCATCCTCTTAGGAACTGTGTCCCGCTGCAACTACTTCGTACTCCCCCGCCCTCTGGTGTTTTGGTAGCGGAACACTACAGACCTTAGCTGGCACTTGGTGAGCCCCCAAAGAGCCCCAAGGCAGCCCCCGGGCACCTCCTCTCAGGCTCCTTGGTAATGTCGATGAGCATACCCCGCCGGCCCCTCCTCTACCCGGTGCCTGCCAGTACACCCGTGAGTTCATACGGGTAACTACCCCTCCCGTTAGAGCCCTCTTCATCAACCCTACTCAGGTCTCTACTGGTCGCACAGTGTCCCTCGACTGGTTACCGATTGGGGACCAAAGGGCCCCTCCAGGGACCGGTCTCCGCCCACAGGATTGCTTCGCTCTACTCATTATCCTCAACCACGGCATTGGCGGAGCTCTGGTCAATGGTTGCATAATAGAGACCATCCAATACGCTCAAGTAAAGGATCGGCCCTGTCCAGCTTAAATGATAGTCTCTGTCCCCTGCAGTCCCTGGGCTTTGCCTGTGTAGTAGTGAACCTACCTGGTGCCGGGGGTACTGTCGCCCCCTTGCCCGCCAAGGGTGGTGATGGTAGCCTCACGCCATGTGCCAGTGTACTGCGTCCATCATTCAGAAGGGAGGTGGCTGAGGCAATGGATGCCATCGACAGGCGACTTAAGAATTGGGATCAACTGCAACAGCAGCAACAGCAGGTACGTCATGTCCGACCCCTTTCAATTATACTGTTGTCTGTTAGACTGCCACACCACCCCCGGGGTCCTCAGACCCACGCTCATCCCCAGCAGTAACGCCTCGGCCAATGGGGTCAGCCTCGACATCAGTGTCGCTACCTAAGGGCCTCATTGCCTTTTCTGCTGGAGGCCTGCATGCCCTAGATTACTTGGCACACTTTACCCCTCGGTCCTCGTCGACTCCTGACCAACAGGCCGCCGAGGGTGGTCCTGATGACCACGGTAGTGCTGGCACTTGTTCGGTGGCTGCTGCTGGTATTGGAGCCTGTGCCTTTGGTCACGTACCGTTAAAACCAGAGAAGTGGGCCGCCGACTCGAGTAGTGCTAAACGAGACTTCTTAGCTCGCTGTAAAGTCCAACTTCGGCAATGTTGTGCTGCTGGTGATTCTGATCTAGAACAGTGCCAAGCAGCGATGAAAGCGGAGACCCTCCTCGAATTCGAGACTGCCATGTTGCCACTGACGGGCCCGTCTGTCGGACCCTTCAAGCCCTACGACAGTATATCATCCCTCACCATCCCTGTGTGTCTGTACTTCTCCCGGGACGATCCTACTATAGACTTCGATTCGGATGTTGACCTGCTACAACTCGCTGTGAAGGGCCGAGAGCATTTAGTGACAGCAGTGACCGAGACTGGTGGCCACTGTGGGGGCTTCACGACCAGCTCATTGTTCCGTTCTCGGAAGCCTTCTTCCAAGCGGGATAGTCTTGGCTCTGGAGTGCGATATCCCATCACCTTCATGGTGGACTTCATTGCTGCTAGCCTGCGGCCAGTACTACTATAATATTGATAAATCAATTCGACAGCACATTTGGAATATTTGTTTCCCATGTACCTCTCTGGCTTTGCGTCTTCTTCTGTGGCTACTCTCACAGCATTCCCTCCTCTCGTAATAGTTGTTGTTGTTCATCTCTCCGTCGCCATGCTGCTCCGTTTCTACCTCGACAATAATGGCAAGCGTGTGTATACGT